TGGGTTTTGATCTTCCCTGGTTTCCAATGCCGCCACTTGTTGGCCACTGCCAGGACATCCGGGGCCTCAATCGATCCGGAAAGGATCCACTCTTCGCGGTCCCGGATGGCCTGTTCCATTTCCAGTGGAGAATAGGTGTGCGATTGCCTGGCGCCTGCCGCACGAAACAGAAGTTGTTGCAGGGTCTTAGTAGCGAGCTCCAAATCCGCCTCCTCCAGCGGTTGTGGTTGGGAGCCGAGTATCCTCGCGAGGATCAAGTTGTAGGTGTCCGAGGCCACCAGGACGTGGTTGCCGTCAGGTGCCAGCCCCACGATCCGTGTCCACGGCCGCGGGTCAAAGACCACCGCATCCGGGTTGGCGACCTTGTCCTTTTTGACCCATTCCAGGCAGCACGCCACGAGGATTTCCCCGTCCGACTGCACTGGTGCAAATCCAAGGTCATGCAAAATCAACTGGAGCGCGGTTGGCGCCCCTAGGAAGGTCGTCCCAAACGGGGAAGGGAGGCGGGGCCTCCACATCATCATGATCCACTCGAGCCGGGGGCCTAGTCCCTAGGTGCAAACCCCAACCAAACAACAGGGGGCCCCCCAAAACCCCGGAAAGTCAACCCCGAAACGGAGGAAACGGGGGAAAAAGGGGGACCCAGGGAGCCGCCCCGAAAAGGGAAAACCAAACAAGAGAGGGGAACCAAGGCGCACCCCGGATCAGCCCAAGCCGCGCCAATTTTCCTCGCCTGGTGCAAGTCTGGGCCTGCGCTGTTCCCTGGGGGGGGATATCAGCGCCTTCGGCAGCTGTCCCCCCCCGGGGTGCGCTGCGCATCCGTTCCGGATGGCCGCGGTCCTGGATGGTGTGCCGGAAGATGGCGTTGTCCCGCATCATCACGCGGCCCCCTTCGCGATGTCATCGATGCGCTTGAGCGCAGCAGCCTCCGGATTCCGCAGAATCAGCTCCCAGATGGCATTGGAGACGTGGCCTGTCTGGGTGGTCTGGCTGAATCTGAACCTGGGCACCTTCTGGTCCACGATGGAGACGTCCCGCAACGGGGCCGAGGGCTCCACCCGGCGGTAGTACTCCAGCCGCTCCTTCACCCAGCGGTTGTAGAGGCCCTCCGGCGGCTCGTCCAACACCAGCTGCAAGATGGCCTTGCCGGCCCGGATCTGGAGGAGGCGGGTGCCCCCTCCCCCGGCACGCCAGTACCCCTTACAATACTTGCACATGTAGCCCCCCCGGGTCTCCCCTTTTGTCTTCGGGATGAGTTCCCACGGGGTGACGGAGCTCAGGACCAGGCCACACTCCATGTGCGCCCAGAAGACATGCTTCATCTCCACCGGATAGTTCTTCTTCCGGTAGTCCTTACCCACCACGCCGTGGACGTTGTCCGCCGTGATGGGGGGGTAAACGATCCCCTCATCGCCCTCGCCTCCCCTGGGGCGGATGTCAGGGCCATCGGCACCTGTCCGGCACCCAGGGGCGGAGGGGTCCAGGCCCATCAGCTTGATCATGTCGTTGGTGTAGCCGAGCTTGCGGTAGATGGAGGGGGCCACTGAGTCGGGGACTGCGCCGACCCACCACTGCTTCGTGTTGCAGCGCCAGTTGACCTTCACCTCCGCCAGGGCCCCCGGGCCTCCAATGCGGTCCATGAGGGCCTTGTACACCTCTGGGAACTGCTGGAGGCTCTCCACCGGGACCGAGATGCGCTCGTCGCATACCGCCCGCAGGATCATCTGCTCCTTGGAGTCCGCCACGTCCTGGACCGGGAGCTGCATCACCTCCGCCGGGGTGTCCGTGAGGAAGGCCCGGGCCGCGAGGACCTTGCCCATGGCCCGGTAGACCAATCGCCACTCCGGTCCTGTCTGCGGAAACGGAAGGCCCTCCTCCTTCAGGAAGCACCGCGCGTCCTCCTTCAGGGTCTCCCAGCCCTCCAGGCGGGTCTGATTCTGGGCCTTGTTTTTCGGGCCCGCTGCCTAGGGCCCTGCAGCAGTGGCAGAGACTCCCAGACTCCCCAGAGCTGGCGCAGGGTGTAGCTGTGCCCGAACATCCCCAGTAGGCCTGGGAGTGTCCAGGACGAGATCTGGCGCGTCCAGTGGAAGTCCTCATCCGGATCGTGGGGGGCAGCCCAAAAGATGGATCGCAGGTCCCCAGGGTAGGGTCGGTCCCCCGCCTTCGCCTGCTGGTGCAACTCATCAACGGAGTACCTGGCCCAGGGGAGTCCACCCACCTGGTGGTTCCTGGGATGCGTACCCTTCTCCAACGCCTCCGGATTCACCTTGGTGAGGTTTTTCGCCCAATCCGGGACGTGTACCGGGCCCGGTCGTCGGACCCAGCGGCCCGCAAAGATACGGACCTCTCCGACCCGTTTGCTCATCATCCAGCGCAGGACCGAGAGCTGCACCTCCGGGTCCTTGGTGTCCAGGCCCACCGGGGTGGCGGACGGCTTGTCAGGGCCCTCGGCACCTGAGCTCGTCACGCCAGAGCCCGAGGCTGGGGGGATGGTGGGCGGCCTGTCAGGGCCCTCGGCACCTGGGCGCGCCGCACCAGAGCCCCCCGCCTTTGGCATGGGGATCCCTGTCAGGTCCGGCAGATCTGACAGGAGGGCCGCCGGGAAGGGATTCCTACCCAGCGAGATGACCGCCTTGGCCTCTCCGTAGATGTGAGGTCGTCCATACTGAAGTCCCTCCATGCCGTTGTCGGCTCGAAGACCCCAGTCTCAATGGCGACCCGGACCTCACTAGGCCACGCACTGAAGGGAGGCGCGATGGGCTCGAGCATTCTGGTTTCGAGGGAGCCCTTCGCCTGTCTGGCTTGGTGTTTCGCTTTCGCCTCCTCCGCAGTGGTCTGGGCCTGGAGGAGCTCCGGTGTGGGTCTCCCCCAGTCCGCACCCAGCTTGTCCAGCAGCTTCTCACGGAAGAGGTCCAAGTCCAGGTTCTTCAGGAGCAGGCCTCCATCACCTCCTCCGTCAATGGCCCCCCCTTGAAGTTCGTGGAGGACCGCCGCGGAGCGCTCCACCGCTTCCACCTGGTCCGCCTTCTTGGCCTCCTCCTGGGCGATGGTGGTGGCGTTGAGCCGGGTCTGAATCTTGAAGGCCTTCACCGCAGACGGGTGGAAGGCTCTGCATTCCTGGCCCTCTTCCTTGTCGCCTGGCAATGGGGGCCTCTCCCCCGGTGGGGCCGTCAGAAACTCCTCGTCCAGCTCCATGGGGCAGTTCCTGATCACCGCCCGGACCGAGGAGGGGACGAAGTCCGAGAAGCTGGCCTGGTCCGGGTTCTCGCAGGCCATCGGGTCGGTGGCCAGCTCGCTGACGTCCACCGAGGCACTGAGCTTGAGGTCGCGGGCCCGGTCCGTGTCAGGGCCTTCGGCACCCGCGGACCGGGCCGCCGTCCAGACCGCATTGCCCTGGTCATCCACCGTCAACTGCCAATGCGTGCCCGCCATCTCCAGGGTGGCCGAGTTGGTCGCCGTGTCAATGGGCTCCGTCTTCTTGCCGCACCCCATGCACTTCGTGGCGCCCTTCTTCACCCAGGGCATGGTGCAGCAGGGGCAGATCCAGGATGTGGGCACCTTGCCCAGGGGGCGGTTCTCCAGGCCCCCGTACCCCAAGCCAGCGCGCTTGCCAACCTGCTGTCCCGGGGTGCTGAGCCGGGCCTCATGCTCGTACTTCATCTTGGCGATGTAGAAGGCCTCCACAACGCGCTCCAGGCCCCCCTGCTTGAGTTGGGGGCCCTCAAAGCCTCGCAGGAGCCGCTGGACGTCCTTGGCCTGCAGTCGGCGGAGCCTAGTGGCCGTGGTCGCATCGAAGCAAGGGAAGTCGCCCGCCATCTGGTCGTCGCTGAACTGGTAGAGGCCCTCCGAGACCTTGAGGGCCTTGGTGAACACGCTCCCCCCCGGCGGGGGGGCTGCGGGGTTCTCATCCTCCTCCGAGGACGCCTGCTCCTTGACCTTCGCCATCAGCTCCCGGCGCCTCTGCCACTTGGCGTCTGCCCGGGCATCCAGGCGGGCCTCCTCCAAGCGGGCTGCAGCCGAGGGGGACCTGGGCATCGGCAGCTCCTTCTCGTCCTTCGCCAGGAGCTCCTCCATGGGCACGTCCTCCTCCGGCGGGTTCAGGAGCTCCAGGAACGCCCCTGGGGGGCGTGTCAGGGCCTTCGGCACCTGCGCCACCCCAGGGGCTGCATCTTCCATCGGCTCATCCTCTGCCTTGCGCTTGGCCGGGATAAGGGGGGCCTGCTCCAGCTCATCTGCGCTGGAGAAGAAACGCTCGTCAGGTGCCTGAGGGACCTCAGCAGCCAAAACGGTCCATCCTTCTTCCTCCCTCTTCACGAGGCTCGCCAGGTACTTTGCCATGGAGGCCTTTGCCTTAGCCTTGGCCTCTGCTACCGCGGCACCAGCGTAGGCGGGGGCGTACATGGCTTTGAGAGTAGGGGAAAGAAAGATTTCAAATCACAAGACAAAAGATCAAAAGGTCCACTTGAGCCAAAATGGTGGCCCAAGTGGATACTTATTAAGAGTCAAGACAAGCGACCACCTACGGTTAACGCTTTAGCCCAGTAATTTTCTCTCCAATGCGGAACCCCTGCAAAGTATTTAAACCCTCAAAGCGGCACTCCCAAATCGAAAACACGATTCTACGTCTTTCCGGCTTGTTCGCAACACCCACCCTTCCCCTTTCTAAACCTCCATTTGCTTTTTTGCTCTCTGGAAAACAATGTGAAGACATTTGCAGTACCCACAACGGGAACTTTAAAAAATAACAAACTTCAACAAATAGAAGCTAGGTCCTCCAGATTTGAGAGGATAGAATAAGGGTACCAATTATTTTCTCTGTAGTTTATTTTAGTAAAGAAAACCCTCCCGACCAAAAAAGGGTAAAAGGGCACCTAGCTGGGGGACCTGGTTATTCCTTCAAAACCAACAACGGAGACTAACAAAACAAGACTTCGGCAAATGGAAGCAAACCGGAACTTGTAGCACCTCACCCTGCCGCCCCAATTTTGGTTTTATCCCTCCTCGGACTTCTCCGCGAGCTCCAGGCCCGCACTGAGCTGCATGGGGCGGTGGCAGTGCCGGCCGCAGCTCAGCTGCATCTCGCTCAGGGCCGGCACCACGCGCAACTGGCGGATTTGAGAAATCTGGGCTCCAAGTCCAGAGGTTCTTCTTGACGACTTGCGGGTGAAATGAGTCTTTTGCGAACTCCGGATTTCTTGGGGCTTCTTCCGGACTTAAGTCAGGGTAAGTCCGGACGTTCGTTTCCTCCTGTGCACTACATAGGGGTTGTCGCCCCACCAGTGCCTGAACCCGTGTCGGGTTGGCACTGGCACCTATCAGCCGGAGTTCTTTTTGACTAAGACTTGCAGGGGTGGTCTTGGTAACTCTCGAGTCTTCAACTTGGGGGTAAAACATGGCATGGTGGATATGGCAACTAGGATGCTCAATCTTATTTCTCCTTGCACGTTTGAAGCCCTTGAAGTAGACATGCCATTGGATTCGCAGCCGAAAGTGGGGGATTGCATCCCAGTGCGGTACCATGATAGGTACGCAGGGAAACCATCCGGGTGTGGGTCAAAATTAAGCCACCAGGGGACCGCAGGTTTTAGTCGTTGGTTCCATTTACCAGGGTTCCATTTTGGGGTTACCCTATTTTTGACCCACAGCCATCCCCGTTAAACCTAAACGGTTGACTACTGCTCTTGTGTTTGGAAGACGATACAAGTTGATGGCCTGACTGGTTTTCGGGTCCTCTTATCCTTCCATAGCCCAGGTTCTAGGAAGCATGATCCTAGCGTGGAAGCTAACTGGGGCAAGTGAGCGTTTGGGGGGGGCAGCCCAAGGCAGAGTTTAGTTGGGCTCCCTCCCCTCCCCCCCCTTCCCCCCAGTCCCCATGCCAAGAGGTCTAGCGGTTTACACAAGATCAAAGAAGGCAAGGAGGGCAGAGTCCCCGCGTTTTCGGGGTTGAAACTCAGCGAGTCAAAGCGTCTCTACCAGCTGGGCTTTCTGAAAATCGGGGGGGGGGGGGAAAGGGAGGTCCCAAACAACAGTTGGTTTCTGTTTGGCTTCCCCAATCAAGAGGAGAAACAAAAACGAACGAGCCACAGACGACATCAACTGGCGTGTCACTTTTAGGATGCAGAACACCCCCCCCAAAAAAAAACATGATTTATGTGTCTTCCTCTTGGTCGTCCTATAAAACCCCCCCCCCAAAAAAAAACAAAAAAACACGGGGCCCCCTTTTCCAAGACAAAGCGCCGGGGGCTCGCTCCGCCCCTCCGCGTCGATTTTTTTGGGTTCGCCTGGCGGCAGATCTCGGAGCCCTGGAAGTCCAGGTCGTGCGCGCCTGGCGCGAGGGAATGAATCTGCGCGCCTCGTTACGTCGTTGCGCGCCGGTGGCTTGATCTGGGTCCAGAGGGATGGATGGGTCCTCCAGAGGGATGGACAACATTTGCAGTACCCACAACGGGAACTCTAAAAAATAACACACTTCAGAGGATAGAATATGTTAGAATAAGGGTACCAATTGTTTTTTTCAGCTTTGTCTATTTTAGTTGGGGAACCCTCCCCCCGAAAAAGGGTAAAAGGGCACCTAGCTGGGGGACCTAGTTTAGGTGAGGGATGGATGGATACTTAATGAGGCATGGACGCTTATTTAATCCCTTAATCCCTGGCTTAATCTAGGTGGATATACATATATATATATATATATATATATTATATATATCCCTTAATCTAGGCGTCATATAATTTTTGAGGGATGGATGGATGGTTGTATAATGTTTAAATGATCCATAGGATGATTATATGGATGGATATCTGGTGCCAGTGGACAACCTCTCCATCCATCTCCTCCAGAGGTTGTCCAGATATATTTTTTGAGGGATGGATGCTTAATGGAAACCCTTAGGGCCACGCTTCTATCATTGGTTTTCCCAGAAAGCCCCAAGTTGCCTAGGTCCTCCAGGAGAGGCTAGAATCCCCCGACTACTTCACCAACCTGTTTATTCATATTGGGGGAACCGGTCCAGCTGGAAGAACTAAACAACTCCACCTAGGTCCTCCAGATTTGAGAGCTTAGACTAGGGGTGCCAACTTTTTTCTGGACGTCCAGTAGGGGAACTCTGCCAACCAAAAAAGAAATGGGTGAGAGGTCGGGCCCTGGGGGACCTAGTACTGGAAGCCACCAGTTTCATCAACCCTCCCAAAAACGGGAAAGAACCTCCAACCAGATCTGTTCCCCTTTTTCCCTGGCCTCCAATTGCATTTTTTTGTTTTTTTTGGGGGGGGAATCGACCCCTGTTTAGTTTCATTCGGGGGTTCCCTAATCTTCCCCAAATTGCTTCATTGGAACCCCCGACCTGTTTATTCATATGGGGGGAATCGGTCCCTGGGTTTCCTGGGGGGTGGGCTCACTTGAACGGCAAACCACCAAGCGCTCCGTTTTCGGGTGTTCAGGAGCCCAGAATAGCCCGGTCTCGGAGACACACTCCAAACCGCCAAGCAAGGGTGGACGTGGTGTGTGTGTGTCCCATGTGGTGTGACGCGCGTTTTTTTTCCTTTCACCAAGGCTTCAAATCCAAATCCAAAGAGATCCAAACCACTAAGGCCGAGGGTCACCTGATCAAATGAACATGGGGTGGGCTCTCCCTTCCCCCCCAAGCAAAAACCTGTGCTGGCGGTGGTTCCTGTGGTTTTGTTTTTCTCGGCTTTGTCCTGATTGGGGTCAGGTCACTATCAAGCCGTGGTCATAGCCTTACCTGCGGGTTGCCTCGAAGATGAAGAAAAAGAACGCTCAGTCAGGCGCCATCTTGGAGGACTTTCACCCACAGGTCGATCTCAGTTTGTCTTCGGCGCGTCCGAAAAATAACGGTTCTACAAAGAGCCCGCCCCAAACGAATTGAATGCTCGCAGAATCCTCGCATTGGAACCTCCCTTTTTGTGGGGGGGTTGCCTCCATTTGGTTCCCCTTGTAGGTGAATTCGAGAAACCCAGCCGCAGGCAAGCCTGCGCAGGATTCTTGGTTTTGGGATGCGGACTTTTGATCTAAATCAATCGACTCGTCCGGGGTTCGAAAGGAGTGGGTTACAACTAGGTCCTCCAGTAGAGAGGTTAGAATAAGGGTACCCTTTTTTCTGTAGTCTATTTTAGTAGGGGAACCCTCCCCCCAAAAAAGGGGTGAGAAAGGGCACTACTGGGGGACCTAGACAACTGCCGTGCCACAAGGAGCCCACTCCCTTTGATTGCTTCCACCCCCAAAAAAAGGAGCCGCGTAGGTCCGATTTTGGGGATGTAGGACACCAAAAGGATGCCAAAAAAAAATAGGGTCCTCTATGCTGCCTCAGCTTGTCTACTCCAGCATGTAAAATTAAAGGTTTAAACATGTCATTTGACAGGTCCCAGTATTTCTCAGGTGTTGAAAGGCCTGGTAAAAAGGGAATCCTCTTGACCATCTGGGATTCTACTTGAAAATACTTCAGCTTAAAATCAACGTCGCTATCCTCCCCCTTTCCCAAAAGCCAACTTTGCCTGTCCGTACGAGTAGTTAAGGAAAAGTAAACCCTAGACCCTTTGGTCACACAGGCCTTCGAGTTCTAAGCCCTGTTCCTTGGCCCATCTGATTGGGCTGTCCTCAAATCCCCTGCTAAAAGCTTAACTTTTGGTGGGTTAAATGGCAACCCCCGCCAAACCCTAAAAAGCTAAAAACTAGGTCCTCCAGTAGAGAGGCTAGAATAAGGGTACCCTTTTTTCTGGCTATTTTAGTAGGGGAACCCTACCAAAAGAGGGGTAAAAGAGCGGGCACCTAGCTGGGGGACCTAGAAAAGCTACGGAACCGGACGGTTGGGCGAATCTGGGAACAAACTTCGCGGCCTGCATGGAGCTTCCGCCACTCAGGCAGCACTCCGCTGAAGATATCCACCGCCCCGCCCAGGTGCAGATGAAGCAGTGCGTCCTCGGGCGTGTCTGACATCTCCCGGTCCCACTTCCTGACTTGAGTTCTAGGGGACACTTACATGTCCATTCTTTCCAGGGATCATTCTTTCCAGAAAGCATCAGAACCCCAGGGGAAACAGCTGGTTTTTGAGAAGTACGATGGTTGAAAAGAATGGGGAATGAACCCCTAGAGGAGTGGCTAAAGGAAGTCGTACCTTTTTGCTTGCCACTAAAATGGTCTTCCCAGAAAAGTATGTAGTCCAGGAATTGGGGAAGTGAGCTGGGAACCAAAACGGTATGCACAACCGTTCGATTCAACCCCAGACCTTTTCCAAACACTTCAAAAAGTATGCGTAAAAAGTATGGGTGCTTGTCAAAATGGCGAAGTGAAGCCAAAAGGAATCATCCATCCTGAGCTGCCCTTTTTTTTGAGAAATGCCCCTATGGGGGGTGGTTGGCCGGCCGGAAACTGTGGGAGGCACCCTGTCTCTCCATTTACCTTTTGGTTGATGGGCTGTGGGAGCTTACCATTTTAGTGGGACACCAACGAAACCCGGCTCTAGAGAAAGGCGAACTCCTTCACTGGCACGAGCAAATGGACATAGATCTGCCGAAATCCTACAGTCAGTCAAGCAAAGGTTGCGACGCCGGCCAGCACAAAGAATCATGGACACTCAAGACCAGAAGTCACGAGAAAGTGAAATACATATCAACATTTCAGACACTTCCGAACGGATGCCAAAAGGGGATTGGGACCGACTTTTTCACGTGAGGCGTTGTGTTGTTTGGATTTCGCAGCTTCAGTGACTCAGGCGAACTGATAGCTGAAATACACTCCCCACTAAGATGGAAGCTGACTGAAAAGTTCCCTTGGTCTTCCAAGGGCCCGCAACAACAGGGTCCTTCTTGATGTTGCTCTTGGTTGAAGAAGGAAAATCGGCCATAGGCCTGCTTTTTCAGGGTCCTGGAAGATCAAGGTTGCATAAGACAGTTCTCCTGAGTTCTCCTCTAGCTGGTGCGATACGTCAATGAACCTCCGTGTGTTGAATATTGAACCGGTTTTGAGGATTCAAGGAAACCCATAGGATGGAGGGGCTTCTTCTCGGGATATTTTCCACGCCTCATTCCCCTGCCTATCCTAGGTCCTCCAGTAGAGAGGTTGGAAAATAAGGGTACCCGATCTTTTTTTCAGCTTTGTCTACTTTAGTCGGGGAACCCTCCCAACCAAAAAAGGGGTAAAAGAGCGGGCACCTAGCTGGAGGGACGATTTCCGTGGATGGACGATTTCCTGCACCACTTTGAAGCCATGCTTGCAACCATAAAAATTCTCGGCATGTACGTGGGCGAATCGAGAAAAAATCGTAGGGCTTCCGAGTTCGGAGCGACATGGGACCACCACCCGGTGACCTGAGATCCTTGCGAGCTTTGGGCAGTGGAAGGCCCTGCAGAGGAAGAGCGTGGCTTTCTGCCTCGCAGGCACAGATGTGCTCAAGGGACAAAAACCCTTGGTTCACTCCTGGAAGAGGAGCAAACAAGATGTTGGGCACAGGGATCGCTCCCTCAAGAGATAAAATTTCCTCGCGATCTTGAAAGGAACGCTCCAAGAGGAACCGTTCACGCTCCCTCGTGGAACTGATCTCTTTCTCAAGCGGAACCGTTCAACGTTCGGGACCCTCCTTGGTTGACTCCTGGAAGGGGAGCAAACATATTCAATTTTTGGCGGTTAAGTGGATTTGGAGTTCAAGCACTAAACCACAATAAGCAAAAATGTGTCAAATGTCTCCCAACAACAGCCATGCCTCACACCCTGACCCAAAAGTGGAACCGTTCGACATCGGGAACCGATGCCTTTGAAAGGAAATGGGTCCAAACCAGGACCCCCCAAACGTCGGGCTCCATGTGAATTGGTGGGAGGCTACGCTGAGTTCACGCGGCGGTTTCCACAAAAATGGGGGGCCCATCAAGCCGAATCATGAAGGGAGACCGGAAGAAGACCAGCCATTGCGACCGGGCGCGCCGTTTAGTTTTAAGGAAAGCCGAATTCCCCTACCAAGTGTTTCTGGACATTTCGAGAGCCGCCGGTGCAGCTTGCCCTCAGAACCCCTCCCTTCCCCACTGTGTCCATGACTCCCAAGGAGACTAGAGAAGAATGTGTCAGGCCCTCGAAACGCTACTCACAATCTCCAGGGTGTCTCGAGGGGAAGACCACAATCTCAAAAAAAACACAAACTGCAACCAAGGGTGGGCAACCAAAAGAAAGCCGGACTAAGTCAACGAAAGGACCTGGAAGCTCGAGGCGTGAGGCTGGCCTTGATCCTCAAGCTGACATGAGGGTGGACCACCACTGGGTCCTCCAGATTTGAGAGGCTAGAATCAGGGTACCCGATTTTTTGTCTGTTTCGTCTATTTTAATAGAACCCTCCCAACCAAAAAAGGGGAGAGAAGGGCACTGGGGGACCTAGACCATGTTCAGGTCAGGCGAGAAATGGGTCCGAGCTCCTTTCAGATCAGCTCCAAGTGGTCCATCTGTTTCGGTGTCCAAACCGCGTTGCCATTTCGGACAACCCATCCACCCACCCATGTAACGAAGACTTGAGCAACACTCATTTGGCTGCGGCTCAGAAAATTGTGCCAAAATGGCACCTTGATAAATGGAACCAAAGACGAGAACCTGCGTAACCCCAGCTGGTTGATTTTGAGCCACACGCATTTTTGTCGAGAACTCTCACTTTTGGGGATGAGCGGTTTGGTTTTGCTAGGATCATATGAGTATAGTCCGAAGCAAGGACGCGCGCCCGTGGAATTAAAAGCATCATTGCCCGTATTGATCGATTCGATCCTTCGCCGTCCCCGCCTGCAAATGACAGAGCGAGATGAGTGATGGTCACCCTCGGTGAGGTAGTACTCCTTCGGGGAACAGGACACCCTACCAGCAATCCGACCATCAAACCAAGCAAGCAAGCAAGCAAGCAAGCAAGCAAGCAAGCAAGCAAGCAAGCAAGCAAGCATGCATGCATGCAAGCAAGCAAGCAAGCAAAGGATCAAGCAATCAAACCAAATCATGTCTAATCCAATCCAATCCAGTCCAATCCAGTTCAGCATCAATCAATCAATCAATCAATCAATCAATCAATCAATCAATCAATCAATCAATCAATCAATCAATCAATCAATCAATCAATCAATCAATCAATCAATCAATCAATCAAATCAATCAAATCAAATAATCAATCAATCAATCAATCCATCAATCAATCAATCAATCAATCAATCAATCAATCAATCAATCAATCAATCAATCAATCAATCAATCAATCAATCAATCAATCAATCAATCAATCAATCAATCAATCAATCAATCAATCAATCAATCAATCAATCAATCAATCAAGCAAGCAATCAATCAATCAATCAATCAATCAATCAATCAATCAATCAATCAATCAATCAATCAATCAATCAATCAATCAATCAAATCAAGCAAGCAAGCAAGCAATCAAATCAATCAATCAACTCAATTCAATTCATGTCAATTCATTTCACTCGTTCATTCTATCAGTCGGTCGGTCGGTCTGTCTGTCTGTCTGTTAGTCAGTCAGTCAGTCAGCCAGCCAGCCAATCAATAAACTCTAAACAAATTCATTCCAAACAATCAAGCAAAGCAATCAATCCGACCAGCCAACCAACCAGCCAACCAACCAACCGGTCCGTTCGTCCGTGCGAATCAGAAGAAGCTAAAGACAGGAGAAACTTGCGCAAGAACCGATGGCATGGCAGTTGCATAACAGCCTTTGGAAACCAAGAGGATAAATACTCCTTCGGACTCCTTCGCTTAAAGGGACACAACCAACCATTTTCTCACTTTGAGAACCCTCCAAAACAGCCAAACCAATTTGATCCCAGCTCCTTCTCTCCCTGGTAAGCCTGAAAAAGCCTCTCCTTGGTGCGAAGCGGGCGATGTCTCCAAATCAAGCCTTCCTGGACATGAGCCCAACACTCAGATGCCAGTGGATTTCCATGGGTAAAAAATAATCGGCCTCCGATTTTGGGTTGGTTGAGTTGAAAGGAGTCGGAACCCTCCCCCCCAAAAAAAATGAAAGACGGGTGCCACAGAGCATATAGACCAGAACACATGTATCCAATCCAGACACGGCTCAAAAACATGGGCCTTGGCTGAAACTAGAGCAAACCATTCGGAAAAAGGTCGAGTGTCAACGGAAGGCGCTCGCGCGGGTTGGCAGACAACCAAACTCGGCCACGCCACGGTTCCGAAAGGGAATCCTGGCCATTGTCAAAAACAGTCCTGCTTTCTTTTCCCAACTCGTAAAGGAGCCGGTTAACAGTGACCATGGCACAGTTAGGTGTTTCTTATGCTTCTGTTCAATGGGTCATGTCTTTTGTTGCTTTGTGTGCGTATTGCTGACGTGTATGTGCCAGACCGCTCCCGAATAGTTGTCTCATGCAGGATCCATTCATGATGAACCAAAAAGGGGCTCGGAGGCAATGTGAGCCAGGATTTATTCTCCAAATGATGCTGTGCCATGTTGCTTTGCTGTCTTCTAAGATCTCCAGTGGCCATGGAGGAAAATGGCCGCCCGTTTCTTCTCATAGTAGTTGAATTCAAAGCAAACTCTCTGCAAAAAGGAGGTACCACTGCAGGTGTGGGGTTTCGCGAATCTCAGCCAGCGCCACCGTATCTCAAACAAAAAGCGCCAGCTCGCATGCTGGGTCTGCGGTTCGGTTTTCACGCACTCACAGGCTAAGCAACTGGAGGGGAAAATCGAGTTTGAGTGGACATGCATGATGTCCCAAAGAGTCCCCTTGGGAAATGGGTCACACAAGTGGTCAGCTATGCAAAGCGGCTTAAGAACTTTGCGTCGGACTAGCAACCTTCAGCATGGTTGTGGAGAATAACCATGACTACTTTATCGCTTTGAAGGGAATTCCCTTGGTATCAAGGAAACTGGCCCTAACTCCAAATGTTCCATATGACTCCTCAGATCCCCTGCTCTTTTAGTGGGTTAAATGGAAACCCCCACGAAACCAATACAAAGCCAAAAAGCTAAGGAACCGAATGGCTGCGAACCACCAAGATAACCTTCGAGGTCCTCCAGTGGAGAGGTTGGATTAAGGCTACCCTTTTTTTATCTGTAGTCTATTTTAGTCCCCCGAAAAGGCGTAAAGAGCGCCTAGCTGGGGGACCTAGCCTTGAACTCGCCACTTGCCAGGCGGCGGCATGTTTGGGGCTGATGAAGTCATCTTCACGGGCTGCGATGAACCTGAGCGCTAAGAGCTCATGCATGGCATGGCCCACGTCGCCATGCAAAAGCTGAGCTGGACATGCGCTGATCCAACCACACCTGCGGGAAAAAACAACAACAAAGCAGCGGCTCGTCTTTTCGGGCAGTCGGTTTACCTCCATTTGCTTAAGCCCCCGGGAAAAAATAAACATTTCCAGTAGTGATAGGTTTCCTTTAAAACCAAAAGGGGAAATAAACAATATTCATTTCAGCAAATGGAGGTATTTAAAGGGAGGTCCCTTCCAAGAAAAGGAACCAAAACAGCTGCCCGAGGTCCCGGAGGATTTTGTCAATCCATGAACCGAGCCATTGCCCAGACTACTGTGGATGGACCGCCCAAGACTCCATGGGAAACCATTGTTTGTTGGTATTTACAGGGCATCATATCATTCTAGGGTTTCTTAGGTGGTGCAGGATTTCGAACCCAGCACGCCGCCCCCAGAAACCACCAGTCCAACCCCCCCCCTCTACTTAAAACATTCGATATGAAATTGTTGCTCTTACCAAATCCTGACATCTTTAAATCTACGTCATGGCGCGCTCGTTTTACCTGGTGCGCTGAGACAATGGCTCAGATCCCCCGTCAGGTTCGAAAGCTCCACGGCTCGGGCAAATGGAGCCAAGTGAATGCATAGGAACCATAGACCAATAATGTTGACCCAGGATCTAAGTAGAACCCGTCCCATGATTAGGGGGGTGTTCCCTCCAAAAGCGGTCTGAATCCCCACTAAAAGGGGACCCCCCCCTATTAATCAACCAGGGGTTTATTAATCCGGGGTTAACATTAGTCGACTGTTGTGGCGTTTCATGGGCACACCCCAAAATCGCACGGCGATTTTAAGGAAAGGCCGATGAAACATGGGCATGCCTCAAAATGGAGAACCTCTTTTTGGGGGGTATGGCATTTCCTTTTTTCCGGCAAACGGTTAAAGGAGGTTCCCCAGTTGAAGCACCTAAAAGGGCCACCGATGTTCTTGCCAGGCTGCAAGGCCGGCATGAAGGACTGCCCCACGTGCTTCAACGCCTCCAAATCCTGCGGCTTCATCACTCGTTGACTCGTGGAAACGGACTCCCCGTTGGCTTGAGACACTTTCCGAGAGAAAAGAAATCGATTTCCTGCCAGCCTCGTGGACATAACCCAATGCCCATCTTCAAGAAGCTGTTTGTCCGCACGGAGAGGGGACCGGGTGGGGGGATGTGAAAAAAGCACCCAATCCAGTTGAGCAGCTCCCAGAACCCGACGTTTGCTTCCACCAAGGTGGGCAGGCTTCAGCTTTGTCATATCCCCAGTGACAAGGTAGTAGAACCGCCTGCCTGTCTCAAATAGGGAACCCCTTTTTGATGTTGCCGAGCAGCCAAAAGGAAACAAACCACCTCAAGGGGTCCCTAAATATGAGAAATACCCTGATACCACGGGGTTTTGGGCGATGCTCACTCTGACTTGAACTCCTCAACGTCGAAGCCGGCCCTTGCTTTAATGGACGAGCGCGCGGCGGAAAGCACGGCGCCTCGGACGGATCAGCATTGCTGGGTGTGCAGCAAAAAAGAAGCCTGGTTGGTTGTTTGGTTGGTCGTTTGTTCCTTCTTTGCTGGCGGGTCGGTCGGTCGGGCAGTCGGGCGGTCGGATGTTGCTGGGTGTTTTGGTTGATTGCTTTGTTGGTTGGCTGGCTGGTTGGTTGCTTGGTTGCTTGGTTTGGTTGATTGCTTGCTGGCTTGCTTGGTTTTCTTGCTTGCTTGGTTGGTCGCTTGGTTGCTTGGTCGGTTGGTTAGTCGGTTGCACTTCGGCAACGAAGCCGAGCCATCCCGGAGACAAGCAAGCAAAATGCGATGGGCCGTGTTGCACCCAAATGGGGGTGGGACTTGGTTTTGGGAACCCTTGTTGGTTGGTTTTAAAGGGCAAATAGGAAAACCGCAATTTTAGGTGGAGGGGGGGATCCACTTAAAGAACACGCCAAATAGATCCAGTGATTAACACGCCCAAATAGATCCAGTGATTTATGGCATAGTCATATCATATTGGCTGTGCCCTCGAATGCTAAACAGCAACGAAGATAGGCTTTGGGCAAATAAGTAGTAGCAAATGGGTAGTGGTACATGGGGTTGTCTCCTGTCCGCAAGGGTTTCTTGTGGATCCCCATGAGAATAAACAAAACGGCACCTGATTCACCAGGATTCTGCGCCGCAAACAGTTGGAAGGTCCACAAGGTCCATGCATGTTTGGCTCAAAACGGTTACCACCTAACATGTGGCCATGGGTCAAAACCCCGCACCCCCAAAGAACATCCCAACCCCCACTAAAATAAGTTCTAAAAATGGGTGGTGCACCTATCCCAAAATAGGATCCCAATTGTTTTGAGCCATGGCCATGTGTGCTTTCTTTTTAGCGCCCCTGTGAAGCAAAGTCAAAACGTTTACCGAGCCTCAAACAAGACGTGCCCAAACGGAAGGTGATGAGCCTGAATGTATGCTGGCCATTCAAAACAGTCCCAACAATGTGTCAACTGCTTTTGACGTACACTTCCATTTGCTGAAATGAATACTTTATTATTTTCCCCTTTTGGTTTTAAAGGGAATCTATCACTACTGGAAATTTATAAAACAAATTTCCCGGGGGCTTAAGCAAATGGAGGTACAGCTCTATATTCTCAAACCAACCCTCTGGGAACCAACATGGAACCAAGCTTTTGAAGGGGTGCCGGGGTTTGACACCTGGAATTGCTCAAAGGCTCCCTGTTTGGGCGCTGTTCCTTCCAAGGCAACCTGGTTTCCGCTCACTTGAACTCAAAAAGCCAATTACTTCAAGCCTCTGAGATTGGATGTCAGCCTTAAGCGTTTGCGGTTCAAAGTTTGGAGATTTGAGGGCCGAGGTGTATTTGCTTCCTCCTAGGGCTGTTTCTGTCTTGCGCTGGTTTTTCTTGGCGCTGGCAACATCCCCAACACTCCAAAACCAATCCTAAACCACCCAACACTCGCTGGACCACACCCTAAAGCAGACCTGAGCCAGCAGCACACTCGTTGCGTATGTGGTGCGTGAGGTGCATGTGGGCGTGCGTGGGGTGGGGTGCGTGGCGCAGGTGCAGGGGTGCTCCAGGCCAGCCCCAAACCCAAAGTCAACCCCGACCCCACCCAACAGCAGCCTGGATGGCCCTTTGAGCCGAAAATTTCTCCCCAAAACACGTCACGTGGGCTGCTCCAAGAAGTAAACCCGAATTGGTGGCTTCCCTTTGGTTCAGTCTCTCCCACCTCCATAAAACAATACCCTCAAACCAAAACACATACACACACAGACACCCAGAAGTGGGCAAATAGACCTGGAATCCCAACAACCTGCACCATTTTTGGGAGGGAAGCCTTCCCTTCCATTTGGTTAAGACCCCCGGATTATTATTTTTTATCTCCAGCAGTGATAAGTTCCTTTTTAAACCAACAAGGGAAATTAAACAATATTCATTCCAGTAAGTGGAAAGTTCCCTGTCACGGAGTCGATTTCCAGAGCAAAAATCGGGGCCCCCAAACAATCTCCGCTTTCCAAGGCACGTGTGGCCCACGAAGGCATCAGCGCCTCGATTCCGATGGCTCGAGGCTGGGCATGGGGCACACGGCTGTGGTGAAACAAATGGATCGAGGACGGGACCGTGGTTGGGATGAGTTGGGTATTCTGGGCACGCGGTGGCGAAATGAATGAATGAATGAAGAACCCCGAAACCGCTGTGGTTGGGATGGGTTTTTCGTACTGTGGACTACGAATCCAGACCGATTTTGGAGGGAAGATTCAGCTCTGTAAGTCTGAAAAGCAGAAGTGGATAGCGGACAGCGGGTGGTAATAATGGAAATCCAAGGCGTAACATCATCCGAACGACGCAGTGGAGCATTGAAAGTGATTGTCATGTCCCTCCTGGGACATTAGAGACGGAAGGGGTTCATTGCAAGGCTGGGTGATTCCTTACCGCCTGCAAAGAAATGGCAATCCCCCATATGAAAATCAAGTCATTTAGATACAGGTCGATTCGTGCCATCTGAAACTTGGTGGTTTAGATCCATGTTGCAGACAGCAAATTGACAAGTGGTTGATCCCTCCGAAAAGGACAATGGTCGCGTGAATGGCAATACTCCAAAGCGGTCCACCATGGCTTTGTGTATGCACGCAATCAGCTTGTGACCCACACCTTGTTGGTTCCCGGCCAAGAAGATAACAAGCCCAGGTGGTATCCCGAACAGCCACGGAGCCCACTGGAACCTCCTTTTGAACCCTCCCCGAAAGCTGCCCCCAAACCCCATACTGTGGATGGACAAATTCCTGCACTACTTTGAAACCATGGGAAACCAGTTTTTGTCGGTTTTTACAGGCGAATCATCATTTCCAGCGTTTTGAACTGTGGTGCGACATGGATTTCGTCCATCCACAGCAGCCTCCAGCTCCTGAACCCTCCAAATGGCTCTGATTGCCCCAAAACTTCGGGGATGGTGTCCCTTGTCCAAGGCTAGGTCCTCCAGATTAGAGAGCTTAGAATATGGGTACCAACTCTTTTTCTTTTTTGTCCATTTTGGTAGGGTCCCGGTTTCCTCCCAACCAAAAAAGGGGAGAGAAAGAGCGGGCATCAATTGCTGGGGGACGCGCCTTGCGAGCCGCCAGCTCGGTGGCCAGGTCTTTCAGCGAAGCAAACCTGTCCATCAAGGCTGGCTTTCAAGGGTGTGCCAAAGAATAGAATTCTAGCCCTGAGGGTCCTTGTCTTGGACCTCAGATTTCAGGATCTGAAGAATCTGTGATTGACGAATCTCCTTGAACCAAACCCAAAGCCGGAACTAGTACTTAGCCCTGTCTGGGTAGGGGCCAACTCCAGTTCCATTCTTTCCAGGGGTCCTTCCTTCCAGAAACCATCAGAACCCCAGGGGAAACAGCTAATTGTTGAAAAGAGCGATGGCTGAAAATAATGGGGAATGAACCCCTAGAAGAACTCCAGGTTGTTGGTCAGCTGTGGTAAATGGTTTTCGACGGTTCTGTTTAGTGGGATTCGAGAGTTTCTATGACTTCCTCACTCAAAAGTAGACGACCTCATCACAGAAAGTGGACCTCAAAACATCCACGACACCAGCCTAACTGCAGAGCAAGCATCTCGAGACGACTCTCCGGAGGTGACGCTTCCCACCAAAACGCTGGGAACCCAACGTTGCAACCAACGATCACCAGCAACAAACCGATTTGCGCGGTTTGCCCTGGACAAAGCCCAAGAACACAAAGCGTACCAAACAGTCAGCCGGTCCAAAAACTCAAGAGACTTTGGAGCGTCCAAATGTGCAGAGCAATGAAAAGCGTCAGAAGGTACCGCTTTGTGCACCTCATGGATTCACACGCTTCGGTTACCAGACCGCATTGACTTGGATACGCACCTCACTCTTTCAGTTGGCCCAGGCAAAGTACTCAAGCCTTGCTGCCATGCACTAGTAGGTCCTCCAGATTTGAGAGGTTAGAATAAGGGTCCCAACTTTTTCTGTAGTCTATTTTCGTAGGGGAACCCTCCCAACCAAAAAAGGGTAAAAGGGCACTACTGGGGGACCTAGACTAGTAAAGTCTGTTTGCTCTGACAGCAGCTACCAAGAACTGGGCAAAAGCTGAAGCAAGTGGTTTGCCCGTTTGCCCATGGACGACCACTCGGAAAAGAGTTGAAAACATGTCCGAGTTGCAAGTAGGCGCACTGTCAATGTGTGCCATTTAGTCTTGCATAATTCATCTCACCCTGAAATATGCGGTCAAGCAAGCATGCACATGAGTGGCGGCGTCCAAGAAAAGGTGCACCGTTGTTTCACGTACATCAAGACTGTGCTCCCACGTACTGAGACCCGGCGAAATAGTTTGTCTATTCCATATCATGGCGAATGAAATCAAACACTCACCAATCGTATTCCTGCACCAATGCTGAATTTCATGCCCGGTGTTTGCGTGCTGAACAAAAGGCGAGAACACCCAGAAGTTTCGATCACTCGGTTCGACATCTGCGCGTGATATTCTGCCAAAGGCACGGACTGTCCAGGACCAATCCAGCGATGGAAGGGTCCCTGTCGGCATGCATGATCGCCTAAGCTCAGAACACTAAACTCCAATCCTCCAGATAGCTGTTCTGAAATTCGTGCAGAAATGGTCGTACAGCTTGAGTCTCAATTGACCAAAAACATCTCCACTCCTGCCCAACTGCACAACCAAATACGAGCTAGTATCTCTGGGGCTTTTGCCCTCTCCAAGAGGAGAGGAGGAATTTCACTTCAAATATCATCTCTCGTGTTTAAGCCCACCAAAAAGGGGCAATATAGGGAACGCTGGACAACCCTGCCACCCTCGCTGGGCTTAACAGTCACGCGTGTTTGTTAGCTACTGGGCAAGCAATCACAACAAATGGTAGGTCAAACCAAACCTAAGAGCAGTCAAGAAGAGGACGTCTTCAACCTCAATTGCCCAGAAACCGGTAGAAACAAAATGCTGATGCCACTTGAGTTTCTGAACCCAACAGGACGAACTTGGAGAAGTTGCAATCTACTGTGGCAAGGCTTGTCACCTGCCACCACCCAGCACCACCATCCCAACAGAGTTCCCAAGGAAACAACTTCCGAAATCACCTGTTTCACAAGCCAAATCAGCCAACCGTGATTTTCAACATGGACATGCATCCTTTGCTGGGCCCACAGGGGTTCTGCAAAATGTGCTGAAATGGTCCAGCCCCCGTTGGTTTCTTTCAGAAATGATGACAACATGGCATGTGCTATCTACCCAGCTTCACTTCACCCCCGGTTTGGGCCCACACACACACACACACATGTTTAATCACCCGTTCGCCGTTTGCCGCCAAACTCGGGCATCTCAAGAACGGGCCCTGCATCTTTCCAACCCTCCCAAAAACAAGACCATCCAACCATATCCACCCCCCTCCACCCCACCCTCCATTTGCCTAAGTCCCCTAGAAAAAGCAAAAATCCAGAAATAATAGATTCCCTTTAAAACCCAGAGGGGCAAACACAAACATGAACTTCTTCTTCTTCTTGTGGCTTCTGGGCCCCCCCTCCCCACCCAAAACGCCCACCGTGGCCACCCCACTACCCCCACCCCTCCCGCGACCGACCGTGGGACGAGCGAGGCGCGGTGAAGGCGCCCATGGAGCGGCCCCAGAGCGCCACGCGGCTCACGCGCCCGGAGCGGCGCAGCAGCTCCACGCAGGCCGCCAGGTCCTCCCGCTCGAACCTCGGCGTCGAAAAATCGTCGAGAAATCCGAGGGGGGAACATCGCAGAGAAAAAACAACAACAACAGAAAAATAAAAAAAATCAAACAAAAGAAAAAACACAAAAAAGAAACAACCACATGCGTTCCTTTTGGTTTCCCTCTCAACCTTGCCAAACCATGGGATATACGGGAAGGAGGGGACCTGGCGGAAATCACACAGGAAGGGAAAGGGAATGGATGGGAGGAGGGAGGGCGGCAGGGAGGGAGGGAGGGAGGAAAGGAAGGAAGAAATGAAGCATGAAGACGCGGAAAGGGAAGGAGGAAGGGAAGACATGAAGAAGCGAAGAAAGAAAGAAAGAAAGAAAGAAAGAAAGAAAGAAAGAAAGAAATAAAGAAAGAAAGAAAGAAAGAAAGAAAGAAACAAAGGATTTTTCATGGGACATCACCCAGGAAGGGAGGGAAGAAATTCATGGAAAATCACACAGGAAGGGAAGGGATAGGAGGAGGGAGGGAAGGGAAGGGAGGGAAGGAAGAGAGAAAGAACTGAAGACAGAAGAAGGAGATGAAGAAAGAAAGAAAGAAAGAAAGAAAGAAAGAAAGAAAGAAAGAAAGACAGAAAGACAGAAAGAAAGAAAGAAACAAAGAAAGAAAGAAAGAAAGAAACAAAGAAAGAAAGAAAGAAAGAAACAAAGAAAGAAAGGGAAGAAAGGGAAGAAAGGGAAGAAAGGAAGGAAGAGAGGAAAGAAAGGAAGAAAGGAAGACACCATCATTTCTTAAAGGGGCATTGTACGTCAGGCAAGTGGTTCAGCCTGGGGAGACAACCCACTGAACAGCGACTTATAATCAGGGTAAGTGGGTTATAACCACTGAGTACAACGCCCCTTTAAGTGGGAAGTCCTGGCCAACTCCTTTTTGTAGCCTTGAGATGTGGAAAACCCTGCCCTCGCGGCGGTATGGCCATGTATGGCCCCCAGGCCCCCCGACCAGCCCAGGGAGATGTAGTCCCCCTCAGACAGCCCGGATCCGCTGAAGTCGAAGCAGAACAAACTGACCCGCAGCGGCAGCAGCAGCCTCAATCGACGCGTTTTTGCCAACCTCCAAAAGGGTCAATGCTACTGTGGATGGTTGCGAAATCCCATTTCCCACCGCCTACAACACCCTGGAATGATCATTCCCCAGTAAATACCAGCAAACAATTGTTGCCCAGGCATACCGGGGAAGCAGGGATGCGGACAATATTTTCGTCAGGTCACATTTCGGCCTGATGTTTCCCTTACACAAAAGAAGAGAAAACATCTCGCACCTCCAGCCGCTTTTCCTCGGTGTCCCAACGCCTTATTTTTGTTCTTTATCCCAAAGCGGGTGACTTCCCGGTGCCCTTTGTGACGCGTCTGCAGCGGAGCAACGGCAGCAAGGGCAGAGCCTCCAGCCGGCACGAGGAGTTCCCGTGGAGGAAGATGACCTGAAGCCAAGCGGCCTCGAAAAAAACAAAGAAACAAAGGGGGTGGCTTGTAAGCGATATTGAATAGCCATTTCGAGGAAAAAAAACAATCCGAAGAAAAAACAGGAAAAACAAAAAGTGGACACTCGTGCATCCAGTTGCTAAAAAATAAGACCCCAGGACCAGGAGCTCCCATTCTTTTCACCTGGAACCTGACGTTCGGGGCATCCTGGGAGACCATTTTCTTTTTAAGGGGGCCCCCTGTCAGGTTCCATGCTAATTGGTGGGAGGGCAATGTCCAGTAGTAAAAAATAGATTCCCAAATTAGCATGAACAGGGGAGAAGAACAGATCTTCTGAAGCAAATGGAAGCGTGTGGATAGGCTGGAACCAAAAAGGAAACGAAACGAAGCGAGTTCAGCGATATCTTGAGAAACATGCAAAAGGGCCCCCTTCAAACATTTTTCCAAAAGAGCACTAATTTGCTCACAACGATTAAAAGCTGCGATGTTTCAATCATCCAAAAAAAAAAAAAAAAAAAAAAAAAAAGAGAAAAAAAAGGAACTGCGAGGACTGAGGAAGGCCCTTTTGGATCTCCAGTTGTCCCCAGAGCTAGCTGTGATTTCTGCAACAGGCAATGAGGTCGAGTTGGACCTATAAAACCGGGGACTCAGATTGGCACTTTGCAATTCCAGATAGGTGACCCCCAAAAAACGGCGGTGTTCGCTTTGGTGCCCTTTGAACACCACCCCAAAAAAGAGAAATTACGCTCAAAAAAGCCACACACTCAAATGATGCCTAACCGTGAGCATCACTTCGCGGCTCAGGTTTCTTGAATGCCAGGTGGCACAAGGCCGCTCCCGCGGCCAGGTCTCCTGACGGGCCGAGGCTCTGGCCAGGTTTCGCGAGCTGAGACTTTCCCGTTGGTTTTCCAAAAGACTAAGGGGATGGCTGGGAACCACCAAGGGTTCAAGGTTCGGGCGAGGGGTTGCCCATGGACTAAAAACATATTGGGGCAACAAGCCGACGGAGTCGGATGGGCTCGTCTTCGATCATGCTCTTCGTAACTCGGCTTTTGAGGGCAAGCATGTACCCTTCCACCAATGAGCATTCAGCTTCTTCTCACCCCAGAGCATTGGGATCTTTGAGCGATGCGGGAACTTCACTTCCGTCCTCCGTGGGGACCCCGGGCTCAGGGATCGCCTCGAAGAGCGAGCACCTCGCGCGTCAGGGGAGAAGTGTGTAACTCTTTCACAGGGGCTGGGGAGGAGGGGAGGCTGGGGGAGGGGAGGGGAACGGAGGGGGGGGCGGAGGGGAGGGGGGGGGAAGGGAAGCTCAAACAGGCCTTATTAAGTGCTTGTTTTAAGTGGCTTGTAATAGCTTAAGCCAATTGCTAATTTTTTTAAGCTCCCCCTCCCCCACCCTCCCTCCCCTCCCCACTCCTCCCTCCCCCTCCCTCCCCTCCCTCCCCCTCCCCTCCCTCCCTCCCTCCCCTCCCTCGCCTCCCTCCCCTCCCCTCCCTCCCCCTCCACCTCCCCGTCCCTCCCTCCCTCCCTCCCTCCTCCTCCCCTCCCTCCCCTCCCTCCCTCCCTCCCTCCCTCCCTCCCTCCCTCCCTCCCTCCCCTCCCTCCCCTCCCTCCCCTCCCTCACCCTCCCTCCCCTCCCTCCCCTCCCTCCCCCTCCCTCCCCTCCCTCCCTCCCTCCCTCCCTCCCCTCCAGGCCCCACCACTCTCCGTACTGTGAACTGGCACCTGATCGGTTGCTGCAAAGAGACTCCTTCTGCAAAAAGTCTGATGACTTTCTGTGGATCCAACGGACAATCCACTTTTTCAACCAAAAGTCAAAGTCCAAAGATCCATTACCAAATAGCCATAAGCCAGGTAGGAGGTAAATTTATCCCAGAAAGGGCCTTATCCCCGGCTGCAGGATTTTAGCTTCTTCTTTTTTTTCTGAAACCACACATTCCGAATCAGTTTGGTGCTCCCTTCTTTTTTTTCTAGAGTTGACTTAATTAAGGAAAGTCACGTTTGCAGTATGTATTTCAATTGGGAATCATTTGGCCATCATGAAAAACATTGGGACGCATGACCATCACCCAATCACCTTTGGAGAAAGCGTTCTCCATTCAACGTCAAGACACACAGCCACAGACATGGAACCGACCAAGGAGACCGACCATGTTCCGGCAAAAAAAAAGGTTCGGTGGGTTCCAGGTTGGACTGGCTAAAATCGAATGGTTGTTTGGTACCTATGTCTCTGGAGTTCTCACCCATATGCCAGGCAAAAGATCCAAATGCATCCAAATGATGCTCGCTTATATACCGTCCACCCACTCAATCCTGTACTTTCCCTTCCGCCTCTGCATCTGGACGTGATTAAGGGTGTACGTGATTAAGGGTGTCCGTGCTTCCCCCCAACCTTTTAAGGCATTCCCAAACAAACATCAAGTAAAGCAGCCCATTGGGGAAACGCAAAGAACCCCCTAAAATGGGAAAGTGTTTGACTTCCCTGAACCATCCCCGTTTACTCACTTCCGTAGACTGGCCAAAGAAAGTGCCCAAACTTCTTTTGTTTGCCACTCACGGTCCAAACTCAAAAGGCTTTATCCCGCCTCTAGCGACGTACCTGGAAGATCAAAAGCAACCTCCTGTTCTGTGCCATGCGAGTGGGTGGGATTCCACTTGGATCTTCAAGTCGCCAAAACATATGGAAACCGTAGATGGCCAGGTGCAAAGGGGAGGTGGGTTGAGAGCCCTAGGGCTGCTTGGATTCGCCTCGGTTCCCTTAGGGAGCCTTAGGGAGCCACCTCCCCCTGCTTGGACCACTCCACCGGCACGAGACTCGACTCCGAGCGGAGAGCCACCGGGGGCATAGGTGTCCTTTTAGGGTAAATAGATGGATCTTCCTGGTAGATGAGAAAAAAACATCAGGTAAACCAGGGATGGCCATCTATTTTTCAACCAAACCAACAGGACACCCATGATTGAGGCTGGGGGGGGGGTGGGGAATCGCCATCTATTTTTCGAAAGCAAACCAACCAGAAACGACGCCTACCGGGGGTCCCCGCTGCAGCGCTTGGCCGCGAGCGTTCTGCACCACCAGGTCCTCCCGGCGCCCGTGGCCCTGGAGTCGGCTCGACACGGCGGCGGCGTTGTTGTTTTCCGTGTTTTTTGGGGGAGAAAAACATGTGAAACCGAAGGAAACCAAAAGGAAACCACAAGGAAACGAAAAGGAAACCAAGCAGGGAACCAAACAGGAAACAAAACAAAAAGTCAAAGGAAACCCACCAGGAAACAAAACAAAAAGTCAAAGGAGACCAAAGCAAACCGAAGGAAACCAAAACTATGTCCTATGGGCGATCATCCAAACCAAAGGAGGTCGTTTTGGGATCCAGTTGTCCTAGAACTTGAACGGCAATGCGCTGGCTGGATGAGAATGACATGCTGCATCTCATGCTGCATCCCCTACCCCAGGACAATGGGCTGCCTTTGCTTCTTTTTTAAGGTTGGACCCCCCCAAAATGGCAGCTTTCCTTTTGGCTTCCCGGTAAACCAACCCCAAAAAAGGGTACCCTCAGACAAAAGACAGACCCAAATGCATATGTGCATAAACAAAATATAGTGGCCACGTGTCTGTGTCGTTTATTCTCACTTCCTGAATGATTGGCAACAAAAGTGTTGCCACTGCGGGCTTCCCATTTGCTTATGCCCTCTGGAAAAATAAGAACGTATGTCCAGCAGTGAAATCGCTTCCCTTTAAATCCAACAGGGGAACATAAACAAATATGCATGTGAGCAAACGGAAGGCAAAGATGCAAAACGAACAGGACCTATTCTGAAACTCTGTTGCTTTGCGTACCCCTGCTAAAAGTGACTAACCTTTAGCGGTTTAATACGGACACCCCCACTTGGTCGGCAAAAAGAAGTTAAAGTCCTAACATCCCTTGGCAAAAAATGCGAACCAAGTTGAAAGGTGGCACTCAGTTGTTCAGTGGCCCTGGAAAAAGGGAACCCTTTTTGGGGCTTGGACCATTTTTGGTGGGGCAGCCACCCGAAAAAACAAAGGGAAAAGGAATTGGTGCCACTGGACCACTGAGATTCTGAAAGGCCTTTGCCCTCGCCCAACCGCGCCTTGTCGCCGATCCGAAAGGTGATGGGCCCCAGCTTGCCGGGCTGATACCGGCAGCGGGGAGGCCTGCGAAGCGCGACCGCAGGCCAGCGAGAGGGGCGAAGATGTCGGAATAGGAGTGTGGGCCCCGCAAAAACGCATAATTTCCCGTGGGTTTCGCAAAAAGAGAGAGGAAAAGACACACATACACACACACACACAAAAAGAAGAAGCAACAACGTGGACGTTCTTTGCGGTTTTCCTGTAGACCAACCTGAAAATGGTGCGCTCAAGAACCATATGCTCAAATGGGTTGGTACCTCTTGGACCCCTTCAGGTGGCTTCCACTCGCGAGCAAGTGTGTGCAGCTCCTCTCTCACGCTTGGATATCTAGAGAGAGAAAGAACATGTATGACTGAGTCAGTGAATGACTGAGTGAGTGAATGAATGAATAAACCAACGCACGAATGAATGAATGAATGAATGAATGAATGAATGAATGAATGAATGAATGAATGAATGAATGAATGAATGAATGAATGAATGAATGAAGGAATGAACAAATGAACGAGCGAACGAACAAATGCAGGAATGCAGGAATGCCTGAATGCATGCATGCATGCATGCATGCATGCATGCATGCATGCATGAATGAATGAATGAATGAATGAATGAATGAATGAATGAATGAATGAATGAACGAACGAACGAATGAATGAATGAATGAATGGTGGGGGCCTCTCGGTTGCTTTAGGGGATGTGGTTGAGTGAGTATTGGGCTAGTTTGGACAGTCAACCCCAAACGCACAGCCACAGCCAGGACATCAGCCCTTTGTCGAGCCTAAATGAACCCCAAACAAACCCAAGACACCCCCCGCCTTTAATATCTAAGCAAGCCCAAAATTCATCAGAAACCTGCCCCGAGCAACAACTGTCACCAAATCAAACAAGCAGCCCCAGGTCCCAGCGAGGCCGGGAGTGCGGCCAAACTCCACCAAGTCAGGGCCATTGGGCACCAAAAAACAGGGGATGGGGATGCGGCCGCAACCAACCCAACCCACCAACCAGCCACCTGGCCGGGCTTCATCTCCAGCCAGAGGATTAGAGATCAACCAAAAACGGTGAACTTTCCTTTGACCACGTCAAAAAATAAAAACCTTCCCTGGGCAGGGATCCGGATGCACTATACACCTGAACATTGCAACTTGTAAATGGTGCTTTCCCTTTATTTTGGCGGAAAAAGCAACATGTTTCAAATGGTTGCAGAATGTATCTTTTAAGGAGCCCTGCTTAGCTTGTTGATTTAATGGGGGTCACCCATTTGTGGGCTTCCCGTTGGGTTTCCCTTCAACCCCAAAAGGCGCTTGGCGCATCGCCATCCCACGTTCAGCTCTCTGCTCGCGCCTGATGACCAAGCTGAGCAACAAGTCCACCGGCGACCGGAAGTGTGCCTTGCGGCCGACGGATTTTTGGGACTCTGCGGGGGGGTCCGCTGGCTCCTCTGGGCAAGGTGGGTCTTGGAAATGAACCGGCCTTTTGGGAAAATAGATGGCCCTGGTAAATGGAAGAAACCCCACCTAAACCAGTGGAACCCATCTATTTTTCATCAAACTAACCTAAAAAGGACACCCTTGGTCTTGGGCATGAACCGGACATCCCCTTAAATGAAGCAAGTGATGGTTGCAGAGGTGGGGTGAGAGGTAATAACGTTCGGAAAATTCACAGCCAAAGGGGGGTTGGGGGGGTGGGGTGGGGCGGGGTGGCGGGGTGGCGGGGTGGGGCAGGGGTCATTTGTTGATTCCCAAAGGAGCATCGGCAAATCCTCTTGACAACCTGCTCGGAACGTGGCCCTGTTCTGTAATCCACCCGCCTGTTGAAGGAACGCAAAACCGTTTCCACTTGCAGTACAGGAGTTGATTCCTCATTTTCAGTTAACCCAATTGACCGAACCATTGGATAGCTGCTATCGGATGTGTATGCCTCTCCGGTTCGGCTTCAACTACCAGAAGCCAAGGTGCGGATTCACCGAAACACTCAAGGCGGCAATGGAACTGCTGGCTTTGTGTGAACATAGGGGACCCTATGGGTGGTTTTCCTTTCATCCTTTACCACACAAAAAAGGGTACCACCCGGGCCCGAAAAGGCTTGCCTTCTGCCCCAAGCTTCCCAGCGCGGGTTCGTCGTTTGGCCCCTTTTTGGGGGAAGCAGATCAGCACCAGTCTATCAAACCTCGTTTGGAGAAGTCCTTGCACACAAGGCGGGGGTCAAAAGGGCAAGCTGAGGACAAAACACGCTAACTTCCCCATTCGTTCTAGGGATCCTTCTTTCCAAAAAACCGCCCAAACCTCAGGCGAACGGCTGGTTGTTGAAAACACCCCCTAGCATAGGTGTCCTTTTAGGGGGATATAGATGGCCCTGGTAGATGATTAAACCACCAAAACCAGGGCCATCTATTTTCCTAGCAAAGCAACCAGAAAGGACACCTATGCCCTCTAGACTTCTGCCTGCTGCAGCTGTATGTCTCCCGCTTCGGCGGGAGGCATCAGCCATGGGATCTTCAGCGAGTCATCGCGAGCTTTTTTTTTTTTCCGGAGGCGCCGCGGATGGTCCGAACACTTGTCGCGGGTCTCAGGCTGCTCGGAATCAGTTCTCCTTTGGAAGGGAAGCCGAAAGGAAAGAAGCTCATGTTGAAGCACGCCAAGCCATGACTGCCATCCTAGCAAACTTAGCATCCATCTTGCGGACCTGGAACTCAAAGTTAGTTCACATCTTACCTCTTGGCGACAAAATGGCGGCGTGCATTGGAAGTGAGGAACCGATGTGCACGGCCCGAGCAACTGCATCCATGGCTGAGTGACGTTTGATTTTGCCGGGTGGCTTCGGGGCCTTGCTGTGCAAGCCACACCTTTCATGAGCTTGCCCACTGTCAAGCTGAAGCCCACGAAGCGCGGCACAGCGCTGCGAAAGGCAACGTCAAAGCTAGCAAAACAAGCCGGCAGCGGCTTCCGGACCCGGAAGCCATCTCAACACGAGCGGGTTTGCTTTTCTTTTTCTTTCCTTTTCCGCCAAGGCGTTGAAGCTATAATTCGAACGACCTTCGACAGTTGCACAAAGCTCGAGCGATGTTCAAGGAATTCGTGGGGGCCCTGCGATTTCATGTCGTAAGCTCTGTTTTTTCTCACCCTGCAAGGAGCCTTGACCTTTTCCCTTCCGGGTTGCCACCAAGACCTATCCGGTCCATGGCACATGCTGCACCGTCGCCCTTTTGCTTGCCCCTTTGTAATGAAGAGACCTTGCTGAACAACTGTCCTGCGATCTGGTAAACACGGATTCACTGAGGCCTCCTAGCAGATGGAAGGCCTACTAGTTGAGCTTCTGGATTGCGCCATGGCCACGGACAAACAACTCAGACTGACACGGTCCTCCGGCTTTGAATGCATATTGCTGCCTTCTCTGAAGGCTGAATCAAACGTTCAAGCTGCGCAGTCTGGGAGATGGCTTCGAACTCCTCTCAGCCAGTCTTACTTCCCTGGTGTAAGCCAGAACCTTCCAACACCGCTCGGGACGCCCCCGAAAATGACCCCGCGATGTTTTTGGACCGGCGCAACCCCCCCCCCCAATACTCCCAAAATCGTGGCGCTCCTTTGGC